AGCATTCGGAAGTAATGCAACCAATGAGGTCAGATAACAGCCAGGATACAGAGTGTGAGGATGGATTTATGACACATTATTCACGAGCCACAGAACCAAATTCAATAGCGAGAGTATCGTCTTGAAGCATCCTAATTAGCATATTAATAATCACAATCCACATAAAACTCAAGGAATTATCATACATTAAATTCGTTCATAAATCGAAAGTGTGGCATTCGAAAATATAGATTCGAACACTTATAAATAGATAGCAAATGCACAGAATCAATTTTGTATATATACATATATATATATTGTTGAGAAGCTCTTCCTCTTAAAAATGGTATATGATTTATCTCCATTTAAACATTCCTATACAGTGTAAATTTCAATTTAAGAGTAATTCGGAAAAGTAACGCAAGAGAAAATTTTGCCTTTCACGATTAATTATTCACAGACTACATAATACTACTCAATATTGAAAAAAGCACCTCCAAGCTTGTTCCAGGGGCTTCAAAATGGCCTATAACTCATTCCAATTTAGAAAAAAATCAATTAATTACGGCCAATCAAACAGAAGAACTCTCAGAATTGAGAAACTATTAAATTTAACTTCAAACGACAAATCATTCACAAGCCACATGATCAAACCAAATATTCAGTATATCATGTAGAAGTACATTGTTATCCCTATCTGTGTAAAAATAAATAAATGATCGTTAATTGAATGAAAACAAAGCCAAAATCGTACACCATTTTTTAAATAATGGATTATTGACTGAAAATTTTCCAAGTGCTCATCTTTCCACCCACAGATTACCCTGTGGGAAATCGATTTCAAAGATCTAATTTCTTTCTTTATATTTCTCGAACCCTGAAAATGATATTAAAATCGGAGGTGTGCGATCTCATCCTCAATTAGTGGTCATTTCCATTTTTTAAAATAATGACAAGAGATCGTACTGCGCACCAGCTCGCGGATATGAAACCATTTCTGTAAGAGAGTTACGACTTTGTAATGTCACGTCACCTTAGGCAGACCAATAAGGAATGGTGGCTTAATGATTTCGAGATTTTCCACATATTCGATTGTGTCAACCGTGTCTTTTTTAAAATAGGATTTATATTTAGATAAAAAAATCAGTGCTTGAGCCTTTTAGATTTATTTGAAAAAAAAAGTGGGCAGTAAATTCTAGCGAGTTGGGTAATGGAACTTTTATTCAGGGCTCATCAGAAATTAATGTTACGTATAGGACTGTACGGATGGACCCTCGGCAATTCAATTTCATCGAGTAACTTCAGGAAGGTAGAGAGAAAAAACGTGGGCATAAAGTTGTGGAGTTGAAATGAATCAATAAAACCTCACTTGAAGGATCTCATCATGGTGGATATTTGTGAGCGTTCGTCGTATATTTGATGTATATATCTTCTGAAGATGATTCTAGTAAACACGGCATGCTATCTTGTTTTATAATCACGGTATTTTTCTAGGTTTTCCTCAATATGACTTTTCTTTGAAAAGCTCTGGAGCTTCTATCATATCATTTCGCAATCATTCTGCGATGTATCATGGCATGAGGTATTTCGACATTTATTCTGGAAATTCCATCTCTGCCCTTGCCGTATATTTCTTGGGGGGATGAAATGATTTACGTCAGTACTGAAACTCCGGTCATTCTCGCTCGAATATTTTTAAAGGAAATTGCCGAGTGTTAATGTTAAATTCTGTTTTAAGGCCTCAATTATAATTCGATGGGGATTTTCTTCTCCGTCTAATATAATTCTCGCCACGAGAAGGGTTAAGGGATTTTTTCTTACTTAATAAAAATTTTATTGAATATTCCTCTGAGTATTTTGGTAGTATCCGATTTGCCAGAAAAATATACTTATTGTGATTTTGTAAAAAAAGTGGTTGTATTTAAACTTTCAATTTACGGAGAAGAAGTGAATTGAGGGTGTCAAGATGAGGTTTATCGATCCTAGAGTGCGATCAGTTGGATTATCCTGAGTAACTACTTTTTTCTTTTGTCTGATATAAAATTTCCCACCCTTTCACTTTCTCTCTTTCCACCGTCAACTTTCTTCTTGTTACCTGCAGGACGTATGAGATTGAGTAAGACGGTTATATAGTTCACTTCTCCACTTTGAAGAAACTTTTACGGGTGCATTCTGCCGAAGACAGGATACAAAGGGATTGCAAAAAAATGTCCATTAGCCTCTAACTCTACTCCTCTCATGAAAACCACCCACCAATACGCGACACTCAAGAATATGTACCTTTACGTCACAAGAAAATATCTTCTCTTTGTTGATACGTGTTAGGTGTTGCTTCTAAAAAATAAAAAAAACACTTGCCAAATTAAAAGCAAAATGTGGAAATTCATTAGAGATAGATTTTTTGAAATGATTCTTTGTTGGATCCCGGTGAAGTGAAATTTATTTATTACTATATTACAAATAGGCATTGGACGGTCAGATCCAATTAAATATTTTTCATCCCCTCAGAGCTGGATGTACCCTAATATTTCGCTTCGGTACCGCCCAAACTGAAGCGATGCACCAATGGAGTATGTTTTGAGATTCTAAGGGGGTTGTTTCGAAATTAAAATATCCTTCCTGAGCAATGATGCGAATTTTCGGAGCAATATAACGAGACGACAGGGATCATTATTACTCCCCTAGAAAAAGGGAGAGATTGTTTGAGCTGCTCTCCTGTCCTTGTTTTCACTTTTTTTTTGCTCGTGACCCCTTAGCCGTTGTAGTTCCCTCTCTGGGTTGGAAGTAGCCACCCCTCTGCCAAAATAAAACTATATTACATTATATGCCGATGGGCATATGCCATAACGCAACCCTAACATCATTTCCTGCGAGATAACGTTACCCATGATTTTTAATGTATAGAAGGGTTTCTGATTGACGCAGAAAGAGTATGTTGCGTCTCCCTAATAAGATTAATCGAGTTATGAATTGCAAATAATATAGCTATTACTTTGTTTATTAATTCCCTTCAATCCACTCATGTTGTAACCATTTTTATAGAAAATATGTGAATAAAATTATAAAATTTGCTTGAACAATCGGACATTATTCCCATTATTTCCTACGGTTTTGAGCTTCCAACCGTACATCCAACCGGATCTACAATTCCAGGATGAGAGTTTCATATTTTATAACTCAAGAAAAAAAGATTAGTCGTGGATTATCAAAATTCACTCGTAATTGAATTGTCGTAAACTGGAATTGCTGTATCGTGTTACTGTACTCACAACTCGATTAATACACGACAAAATCTCCCTTCAATATTGCTTGAAATATCCGTGCACGTTTAAGCAAACTTGCCCTATTAACTTCTCATGCGCAGTGATCCTTAAATAAACAGGGCAGGTGTAAATGATCATCCACCTCCGCAAAATGCTGCCAAGTATATCCAACATGAGGGTCATGTTCACAAGATAAACATTAATTTTACGGTTCACAGAGTAACGCCCATTTACCTTGCTGTTTAGTGGTTTATAAATTGTCTATTTAATAATGATGTACTTCAATAGCTCCAAGTTACAGAGTTTTACATTTTCAGTGGAGCGGAATATTGGCCTTGACAAATAATAACTTTTTAAAAAAGCATATTTTCATTTTCTTTCTTCTCGTAAGAGATGTTTAAACTGTTGGAACCACTTGATTACAAATTTCATTGAAATGTTGATAATTTGAATTACAGGAAAAAAAATGAAAATTCAATTGAATTCTACCAAGAGTTCAATCATTCCTTTTATTTATCTAGTTTGATTTATAAATGAAAGGGCTCAGCACTGAGCCCGAGTATTTTACCCCGCCGATATCGTTCATGTATTATTTCTTTGGCTTTCTCCATTGCACCCGATTATCTTGATTGTCTCTCTGGATTATTCATTCGGGTTTCTTCACAACCGTAAATCCCATTAACTACCGGGATTTGCTGTATTTTATAAGATTTCTCTAAGCCAAGTGATCAATTTACTGGACTCGCTAAATCACTCGACTCTGAGCTTCAATCATCATGGAAACCTTTTCAATCTTTCTATTTTCCCATCGAAAGCGAGAGAAAATAGTGAGAATTCAATGATGTAAGCCTGAGCATCCCAACAAGAGTCATTTCACTTCTCATGAATAGCGAAATAAGTTGAAAATCTCAAAACTTTACTTCAACCTACTCACCCTCATTTTTATCTCAATTACCCTCTCTCATTTCCCAGCATGTACTTATTCAAACCGATAATAAATACAAAAATCTGAGGATAGTGCTTGACACTTCAATTCACTTCGATGGATGCATTGAAAATTTAATTAAAAACCATTTTTTATTTTTCTTCTGAGAGGGCAAAGAGGAGTAGCCCATGTATTTTTCTTTTAAAAGAATTTCTTGTAATGCCTCTCGCGGGGATCCTGTGCAATTGAACATAAAAGATGATATGACTGATAAATGTGCAGCCTGACAATCTCTAGCAAACTGTGACATCAATCGTGACTACAAAGACTAGGGCGATACCTTAGTAGGTAAAGTACGAATGAGATTGGATGGAATTAGTGGTAGGGAAAGTTGGCTCGTTGGCTCGTTGGCTCGTTGTACCGTCCCGAGGGAGATGCACCAGACAGAGATAAAGCAAGAAAGATGAAAATAGGGGGATGATTTTGGGAGTGTGGTGCCCCTTGAGAAGGGCGGGGCACGGGTGTCTCGGACCCCAAATGAAAAACCAACCCCTGGGTGGAGTTAGAGCCCATATATATTCCCCCGTTGACCCCCTACGCCTCAGACCTCATTGAAACATCGGGTCGCAAGGGTCTGCAGTCCCAAAAAGTGTTTTTAAAAAAGTTGAAACTTTTTCCTCATCATCGAACAGGCGAAAGAGTTTGACTTCTATCTGGAATCATAAAGAGAGTTTCTATTGGATTATAGTGCACTGTGAACCGTGAAGAATTGTTGTCAAGTTTTATTCAAGAAGTGATTCTAGTTAACTCAGTACAACGTCAAATATTCAAACATGTCGAGAAGTTTTCTTGTGGATTCCCTCATCGGGAACAACTCACCGCCAACGTATCCGCTTCCCTATTATGGTAACCAACTACCAAACTACATGTTCAACTTTTTCAATCTGGGCCTGGGATATCAGCCAGTGAGACCTGTACCGAGACCACCAGCTCTACCTGTACCGGTACCGCTGAGCCCACCAGCTGTCATGGGGCTTCCATTATCTGGTCAAAGTCCACCGTCGTCTCTCAATGCCTCGTTTACAAGAATATCAGGTAAAAGTCATTGCATTGCATTACATTCCTAAATTCCGACAAATTCCGACAAATTCCGGTACCAAAAGTACAGGAGTAATTATAAAAAATATAAAATCTAGAGCAATTAAAATGTTAATAAGTTTGGGAGATTATGGTAATTATTTAATTAAAACAGATTAAATTGAATTGTGCTCGGAGATTTAACGGAATCTATTCTAAAATAGTACCTCGTAATAAGGAGTTGATGTATAAAATTTCCTTACAGAATTACCTCCGACGAACGATTCATCATCTCGTAATAGTACGCCTACACCACCACCAGCATCTCCAAATTCCCTGAACAATAGCTCAAAGAGGATTCGTACTGCATTCACGAGTACTCAGTTATTGCAGCTTGAGCAGGAGTTTGCTAGCAACATGTACCTCTCGCGTTTGCGTAGGATTGAAATAGCAACGAAATTAAAACTTTCGGAGAAACAAGTGAAGATATGGTTTCAAAATCGTCGAGTTAAGTACAAGAAGGAAGAATTACCAACAGGACAGAGTTCAAAATGCTGTTGCTTGAGAACTTGTGGTAAGAAGAAGGACGGCTGCCCTGATGAATCGAGCAAGTGTGACAATGATAGTTCATTGAGGGATGAGAGTGAAGAGGACATTGGCGATGGTAATGCTGATGTCAAGACATCGTCATTGGAAGTCAAACGAGAGCTTAGAGCATCACCTGTAATGGAGGCCTCTTATCCTAAGCTACCCAACTATTACGATTATCAAGGCGACGCATCGGAACTTGGAGAACTTCCATCGAGGAAAAGAAAAGCTGACCATTTAGAGCCTTACTTCACTCACATAACCAAAAAGTCTAATGTTAGGGGAGGTTCATGTACTGAGCACACGGTTGAGAATATCGTCAACTCATGAATTATAAAATTATTGACAACTGTTGAGATTTTTCATAATACAATACTCAGTGACACACCAGTTTTGTATATTTTTGTATATTGTATAAATTATTCTAAAGAACTTTAAGACTGTATTTTTAGATCAGTTTATGCCATGATGAGAATTGAGTAGATATATCGAACAACTAGCCTGAATGGATCCTTCTGATTAAAAAAAAGTTGAAAAGGCAAAACCAGAAAGACTGTATATTTTGTAATATTTATCATTAGATAAAATAAATTGAATTTATTCATATGAAAATAAGCATTTGTTCAATGTTTCTTGCATCTCATTTTCCCACAACAATAACAATAAAATAAATACTCGAGGCAATTTTTTTCAACAAAAGCCCGAAAAAAAGAAACCGAACCGTAAAGCTGAAATCCTTTGGCCGCCGGCCGCAAAAAATTCCCCCTGGCAAATCAATCCGAAAATAAAAGGAAAAATTTTGGAACGAATTTAAAAAAATGCTTTGGATCAGTTGTAGAGTGGAAATATTTCATGTGCGATTTGTAGACGTATACAGTAGCTTCAAAGTAAATCGTCAAGGTGAAGGGATAAAAGAGGTTTGGAACACGGAATGTGTGAGGGTAAACGAAAAATTCAATGCATGCAAACGCTCTTCAAGTGGATAAAGTATAAAATTTGAACGTAAATGTCAAACTCTGTTTTTTCACGTCCTCCAGAGGAATTGAGAGGAATTTCTCGGAAAAATAGGTTCTCGTGTATTTATCGTGAGTTTTTGATGTATGCTCAGAAGGTCGAAGTGAAGCGTTGAATCTTGGAATGTAGTGTTATATTGTATTTTAATTTGTGACACAGCGAATCGAGAATCCACTTTCACACACACTTACCACCCATAATCGCATATTGGCGCGATTTTCATTGACTAAATTTTGAAATTTGGATTTATTGCTAGTGAAATGCACAAACTGTTTTGTGCCATTAATCCATCGGTAATCGCCGAATTTATTCAATACCTTGAATATTTCCAAGCAATTGTTCCTTTGAAATTCATAACTAATAAATCCGTTACCTCCTTCACTTCCGCCATGTATTTAATTCCGTTTATTATTCTTGGATTCATTCATCTGACTTCAAGGGATGGGATTTGTATGAAGCATAAAAAAAAATTAGCTCAGAAAAATCTAATGCGTGGGTTATGGGTGTTAAAGGTTGAGACGACAGATTTTGTTTCCAAGTGACACGGTGTAATGATTTTTCCCTCAGCTTCGGACACGCTCATTCATATATTCGTGTTCCTTGAATGGGGAATAGAAAAAAAGAAAACGTGAAAAGGTAAAAGTCTCATGTCACGGTGTCGTCGGTGTTGTCCTCATGCCAAGAAGCCAAGAAAATTCGGTCGGTACTACGAAGAGAAAAATACGAATGCTCTCACGCTTGACAAACCATCGTGCATTATGTACGCCAAACGATTTGGAAAGCCGTAAATTTTGTAAATTTGTCAAGAGGGCCTCCACTTTGGGACAAATTTAAGGTAAAACGTAGTTAATGGCGTTAAAGAGGAGCGATCCAACAATGCCACCGAAGACTCTTGAGTCTGCCACAATGACACACTTGTGTCACGAAAGAACCAGCGGGCGGTCTCTTTTCAGTGCTACTCGATCGTCATACCCACCATCTTTTTACATCTTCCATCCCTCTCTATTTCTATTTCACTTTATCGTTTTAGCTTTTTCTTTTTTTTATTCTCGCAATTCTTGAAATACAAACGCTGACTTCGTGTCTCGACTATCCTCACGGCCATTCACGCTGACTCCGGCTCATTCTCAGCTTCCATTCAAGCCCCAAAACTTTGGGAATGAATGGATATAGAATTCTCCGTTGGCTTCGGAGAAACATCGTGCCGGTTAGTGGGAGGGCAAATTGTCATACCATTGGAGAAAAGTTGTTTGTAACAATCGACGTGCTCTATTGGGTTAGCGAAATTGTTCTGCGGTGGAGCCGTTTGATCTTGCCTCAGGCCTTTTCCTTGATACGGCTTTCGTTAAATAGAGTTTAGATGCGTACAATGAAATTCGTTTGAATTTTCCGATTCATTCGGCAATTGATAAACCAGTTATTCTACCATTGACATTTTAAATTACAAATTGACAAATAAACTAAATAACTAGTCCTTGAATACATCATCAACGACTCTGATAAGTATTATATCTCAAATTACAACCGATCAATTTTTCATTCCCCCGAATTCAATTATTTCTCAGGATGAAAAACCAAATTTTCTTGAACTTTCAAGATAAATGAGAAATTTAGTGAAGGGTTTCAATTGAAATTCAAATTAAACTCATTGGTTTTCCATTGGGTTCATCCGGGTCGTGATATATCATGAATTTTGAGTGACTTAGTGAATCTCGTTTTCCATTAATGGTGAGTATCCGTGGCATTTGAATATCTAATTAATCAAGTGTCGGAGAAAGGTACAAACAAGTTGGTCGCCTGACCGGATTACAGTTGATGAGTGATCAGGTTTGTCTCTCCTTCGGAATCCCTGGGTGATGTTACCTTTCCCATTGCTTTTGAACATTGTAGAAACTTTGCCCTCGGCTTCCTCAAACTGAATTACACCATTAGTAAAGCCAAAGTCTCTTTGCTTCGCTAGAGCAGATCTGGAGATTATGTAGGCGCATTATACAGGGAAGCAATTAGTCGAGTTTGATACTCTGATTCTCACTCAGTGCTTCAAACTTCTGTCATAATGTAGACTCAATGTAATGTGGGCTCAATCTGTCAACCCAAAATTTAGTGACAAAAATTTGAAAAATTATCACCTACTAATAACTGATATCCTCGTTAACTGATATCCTCCCCTGAGATTGATTTATTATTAACGAATTGTACCAATTATTTTACATGGAAATAATTGATAGTGAAATTATCAATAAGTTAAACCGGTTATCACAATGGGCTCGTCAGATATCAGAATATCGTTCGTCTACTGCCATTTTATTATTTTATCGAGGGATAAAAAAAGAAAATATTTTATAAATATAAAAAAAAAACATGTAGAATTTCAGTTAGTAATACTGTTTGTGGATATTTGCCGAATGAAGCGAAAAAACTGTACGGTGAAATGGAAAACTCATTAAAGTATCTCAATATTTGGTTTCTCAGATTAATAATGAATAATATATGATAAATGAGATGAACTGTACGCGAATCCCTTGTGAATTGCTCGTTGGCCAAGAGATTTGCCGATTATGTGGGTGTGTACTTTTTATTAACAATTTCTGGCAATCAAATGGGATAGTAATGCGTTCATAACGTAGTCGTTTGGATTATCTCCATGTCGAAACATTCGAGATGAATTCAGTTGCAATATCCTGGAACACTAGTGAATCCTCAAGTAGACCTCGGCATTGGGATAAAAACCGATTCGTCATTCGACACTGTGAGCAAAACATACCCGTCCAACCGCTCAATTGCTGAAAAGAGCCTCTAGAGACCGTAATAATATAAAAGGGGGTTATAAAGGAGACATCTAGAGGGAGCAGAAAATGAAAATGAATGAAAAAAAATTATAACTGAGAAAAAAGAGATCAGCTGGAAACCGGTGCGCTAATTCATTTTATTTTATGCACTTTGAAGAGGCGCTCGATCAAATTCAGTGGATGGAAAAAAAAAGCGAAGCTGTCGCGTCAAAAATACGCACGACAAAAATGTGTTATAACTCGAGAGGCGAGCTGGTTCTTTTTCCATTCACTGTTGTGCGGGCACAACACTTGAGATTTCTGTAAACCGTTTTCTCCAGCCATGTGACACACAGAAAATAACAATAGTTGTATGTCCGCCATTACGGATCGTTTCACGCAGTCCTTCGGCTATTTCTACAAATACCCGTGAAATACGGCAGCTAGAAAATCGACATCTTGTACTTTTTTTTTTGCGGACAATGAAAAACGCAGTAGTTTCTTGAATACTTGGGTAGTGGGAATGAGTGAGTATTTCTCGATCTCGTGCCTACGACTTCACGTTCGCTGAGGGCCATTGTTAATTCTTTTGGAACTGCTGGCGACCAAATAGTCCTGCAGTGTGTCCAATTCAGCGGAATGGTCATACAAAAGTCAGGGGTTTTTGCAGGGTAATTTTTTAGTCGGTGAAACTTGAGAGTTGTTTGATTTTTCGAGTGTCCGGATATTCTTTAGCATACTTGACATTTAAGTGACCGATAAATTGTAAGTTTTTCCACTTACAAGGTCAATCAAATATTCTCTTATAAATATGTTTATAAAAAATATACATTTATGAATAATTTCTGCGACTCTATCAATTAACTTTCAATAATTTGTTTTTGTATAAATTAGATGTTTGGTATAAATTATACACTTGAATTTGAGTGTACATCTCTTGAATTCAGGCTTTTAAAAAAGCCCCTATCAGAATTCCGTGGGTTACGACAGAAAATTTTTCAATTGCCGCAATGAGATTTCGAATTGATCGACCTCCTCGGAGAAATGGGGTTAGCGTGAAGAACCAACGAAGAGATTAAAGTTTACTCTCAACATCTTGACTGAAAATTGTTATCTGATAAGTTTTACCAGGGGTACTTGGCACGCTTACCACAAGCATATATTCGCCAATTCATTTGCGTGCATAAACGAACACCAAATGAATTTGCACGCGAGTGTGAGTCAACGAACTCATATTTTTCACATTTTTATCATTTACCCTCTCTATTTTTCTACAATTCCAATTTTACCAGCCATTCCTGAAATTAGACTATTTTTCAACATAGCATCCCACATGTGATATGCTGAATAGTGGATAGTGGAAACACATGTTTATATAGTGTGCAGTATTTGACATGCAGGCTATCTGCTTAGTGAATAGCAGTTGACGTAAGAGTGATTAACGAAAGGCACCGAGTTTCTACGAGTCATTATGGGATCGTTACATGGCAGCTGGTGTTCAAGTACTGAAGGTTTATACATGGAGAATCTTCACTTTGATCATGGCTGTGACACTAAGCGCTAATATTAGTAACACCTGCCAATCTTCGGGTAATCCCTCCTGAGGTTTGACTTGATAGATGATGGATTTACATGTCATAGTTTGTAATCTCTCGAGCCAAACTCGTAAGGTAGCGATCTTGTCTTACATTACTGTATTTTATTCGAGCTAACTCAATTGAACTTTGCCAATTTAGCCTGTCAGGGCAGAAAC